CAAGTCAGCAGCCTGGCCTATACAATGAAAGTGTTTTGTCTTTACAGTATTGACTACCCAACAAGAGCGAGGGTGTCTTCCCATTGTGACTACTGTTCCAATAACAATCTTCATGGTTACTACATGTCACCCCTGTTTCTAGCTGGAGTCAAAATGGGGAAAAGACAAAACAGATTCCTTGTAGTATTCATTTGATTTTTTCATTTATTGAGTGAGAAAATAATGACATCACAACACATCTTGCACGTGTATTGTTGGTTGGGCTCGCGCCCACGTGATCACGTAGAAATCACATTTCCATATCCTAGACAGATCATTTGGAACGGAGGTTTTAAATGTTAAAATGTCTGGGCATCGAAAACAATTGTTACATTTCCCCCTTCAAATCTCCAAGAAAAAATAGAAAATCAGAAATTGTCAATTCAGATCGACAATGCAAACGCAAAAACAATATTCCAACCTTATCCGTAGCAATCTTTGTACTTGAGTTCAAGGAGCCGCCGGCGACATGAGACATGCTGGAATGCTATGACGTCATAACACATTTATCTCATTTTAACCCTGCGGCTTATAACGCATGTTCACTTTATAAATGTAAATGTGAGTCTGGGTATCTCTTTGGACATCCTGGTTCATACTTTTTCTAAAAACTTTAAAGATTTCTGTATCCTTATTGGTTTCTTTTTTCCTAAAGTACCATCCCCGAATCAGACTCCATCGTAGTTCGGAGTACGAACACGGGGATTTGAGAACAATTTCGACAACTCTGCGGCTTCTGTCACCAAGTGGGGTGGTTTTGTTGTTGTTGTTCTTTGTTGGGTTTTTTTGGTTGTTTTCGTTTTAGGGGACGTCGGGCTTATTGATTGGGGAAAGGGGGTGGTTGACGCGAAAATATACGTTACTTCCGGTTATGTTGATGTCGCCACCGGTCATGAAAGAAAAGTTCATAATGTTTTTAAAAAAAATCAGCATTCCCTTGTCCTTGCAATAACTGTCAGAAGCGCGTGAGGGTTAGTTAAAAAAACGTGAGTTGTTACCAAGTAAATGTCTGTGAGTTTATAGTTTAGATACTTCATGCAATTCCATATAAATCTAGTTAAGAGTTCTAACTTTCAATGTCATTGTTCATTCCTCGGTTCACGGAGCAAGAGTGACAACGCGCAGTGTCGCTTCGAGCAGAATTTCAGTTGAGTGACGTGTAACACTTTTGTCAAACGTTGTGCACATTTGCCTAGCGGAAACCTTTAATCGTGGAATCCAAAGTAAGCCTTGATGTTAGGATTGTCATTGGGAGGGGGTGGGGACATTAATCGTGATCATGTCAGGACTTTTCAAGTTGTCTTTACACAGCAAGTTTGAGTAAGGGACGCATTCAATATTCTGGGGAATATCGAGGCGTTCGGTTTTTGTAAGATACGGAATATTATATTGGTAACTACTACCAAAGAAAGGATATGCTCAACAATTCCATTTCTCTCATGATATCCAGCATTGGAATTTAGAATTTTCATTTTTAAAGATGAGGAAATATTGCTGACCTTGACATAAAATAATTATTCACTTACTCGCATACTCAGATGACGCGGGCACGGATAACCAGTCATATAAAGCTCCGCAAATTGCTGTTCAAAGTGACGTTAAAATCTAGCATTCATATTGCTCAGGTGACTAAGCACATTGCAGTGGTATTGTTACATGTACCTATAATTCATATCATGTCGTGCTAATATATAATGATCATATATTTTCAGAATAAAATGGAGTTCAGGCACATTAACTGGTTACACAATTGGATATCGATTGGAAGATGGTAACGGATGTATAACTGGTTACACCACGGGATGTCGATTGGAAGATGGTTACGGATGTATAACTGGTTACACCACGGGATGTCGATTGGAAGATGGTAACGGATGTATAACTGGTTACACCACGGGATGTCGATTGGAAGATGGTAACGGATGTATAACTGGTTACACCACGGGATATCGATTGGAAGATGGTAACGGATGTATAACTGGTTACACCACGGGATGTCGATTGGAAGATGGTAACGGATGTATAACTGGTTACACCACGGGATATCGATTGGAAGATGGTAACGGATGTATTACTGGTTACACCACGGGATGTCGATTGGAAGATGGTAACGGATGTATTACTGGTTACCCCACGGGATATCGATTGGAAGATGGTAACGGATGTATTACTGGTTACACCACGGGATATCGATTGGAAGATGGATGTATAACTGGATGTCCATGTAACCAATTAAGACCTTCATCAATTTGAAAAGTACAAACAGAGATAATTCAGTTTTCCTGAATCACTCGAAGTTTTTTCGCTGTACACAGTTCAAAGCATCAATGAAAATCCATAAATTTACATTGAGACTACATAGTAGTGACATCTTTAGAAAGGTACGTCAGCAATCTTCATAGGAATATATTTCATTTCTGTTACTTATTTCCATCAGTGACGTGAAATATTAGTATATAAGTGTGTGTGTCCGTGCGCGTGTGTGTGTGTGAAAGAAAGCGGGAGTGTGTGTGTGTGTGTATGTGTGTGTAAGTGCGTATGTGTGTGCTGAGATCATGTAGTTTAACATGAATACACCATTCGGACACAGTATACTCACAAGTCTTTGGGGGCGGTCGGGTAGCCTAGTGGTTAAAACGTTCGCTCGTCACGCCGAAGACCCAGGTTCGAATCCCGACATGGGTACAATGTGTGAAGCCCATTTCTGGTGTCCCCCGCCGTGATATTGCTGGAATATTGCTAAAAGCGGCGTACAACCAAACTCACACATTCACTCACAAGTCCTTGCTTTATCCCATTAAAGTCGACGCCTGGCAGTATAACAACAAGTACCATCTTTTAACGTCTTTTGTTATGACGCGGCCAGAGAACAGAACCCCCGACCTTCAGCTCTCCGGGCGGACGCTCTATCCACTTGACCACGGGTCGGAGGCGGTCTTGTTTCCACTTGAAACCCATGCCAAGAGCATAATTATATAAACGAGTGATGTTTACAAAGAATGATATTCCTGTTTGACACTGTATCCCTACAGCTTTGATCGTGCCCGTGGTTCATTCTCAAACATTCTGATCCAGGTTCTATTATTGACAACACACCCTGAATGCGCTGGCTGCAACACAACTGAACATTTGCTCACGCACTCACTTCAATGAAAACATAAGATCCGTTATTTGTGGCTTTGGGGTAGCCTGGTGTGTGTGTGAGTGTGCGTATGTGCACGTGTGCGTGTGTGCGTGTGTGCGCGTGTGCGCGTGTGCGCGTGAGTGTTATTGTTCCAGCTATAAGGATGCGCCCTGTCGATACCAGACCAGACAATCTGGTGATTGATATCGTGAACACAAATCCACTCCAACAATCGTGGTACGATGTAGCACAGTAAACCAAGCAACAGATCCTGACCACCCTATCCACTTGCTCGCCTCTTACGAACAGCATCGGTTGCCCGGGACCAACCCTAAGCCGAATCCCCACGTGTTCATTACTATCTGTTAGTGCTGTTGTAAATACTGTCATTCTATGGACATTTCAGTATGATTGTAGCATCTGAAAAATATTTTCCAATACTCTGTTTGTTTGACGGTTTGTTTGTTTGTTTGTTGTTTCTTTGTTTGTCACTACAATCAGCACTAGTACAGCCTGTAAATCATTGAATCTGGTCAAGACAAACCGGTGATGCATATTTAGCAACGATCCACGCCGTTGAGTAACGATGACATGCGTTTCAACCAAGTCGCGGGGCACGGGTGGCCCAGTCGCCTAAGGCGCCGCGATTCGCTGTGCAGAGTTGCGTCCCTTCGGCACGCCAGAAACCTATGATTGTGGGTTCGAATCCCGGTTCGCCACGATTATGTTTCTAGGTTTGTCAGCACCATACCCGTGCTCGTGGGTTTCAACGAAGCGATAAACGTCTGAGACCTGCATCACTTCGGGCTTTCCTCCCACATTAAGCTGATACGCCGCGATATAACTGAAACACTGTTAAAAGCGGCGTTAAACCCAACTCACTCACTCACTCACTCACTCACTCACTCACTCAACCAAGTCGCCTGACCAAGCGATACAACTGAGTCGCCTCATACGACAAGCACGAAGAACTGGTTTCTACAGGAGATATCAAAGGATCATTTTTAGAGACGTTTCCTAAATGTTCATAATCATCTATACTTATCATGTCGATTGACATACGCGTTAGAAGCTTGTAGAAATGTTCAAAGCTGAAAATATATTTATTACTGCATCGAATTTATATCATGTTTATTTACAACTTTTTTAAACTTTATACAAATGTCAATGCATATGTTGACGGGGAAAATAGCTCAGATTGAAGACGAAGAATACGTTGAGTCCAAATTTCTTTAGTCGGCAATAAAACAAACAAGTACAATTAATAATAGAAATATGTCGAGCGGAGATTCCAACTCAACAACTACAAGTGAAGTCCAGCAAGCAGGCGTATCCTACTCGCATCTGTACATACAGGTGCTGTTGGAATACCAGACTAACTAACAGTAAAGATGTAATTGACATATATATACACTATTGGACAACAATAGACAGACAAAGAGACAATGGCGTTGCCCTGGACATGGGGCTTATGGATTTGATTACAGACATGGCCCAGGGGAAAATGGATTAAGGCTACAAATGTCATAATGTGAAATGATGTGCTAAGGCAATTGTACAACTGACCGCTGTTATGCATGGATTAATTCAGATTTCCTAAACCATATGTTCTCAACACTGTACACAAAGGGATGTTGTTCAGAAGCTACAATTCTTTAACATTGAGTTGTCCAGAGTGCTGTTAAGTCACTCTGTGACAATTGTCACCCTCTTGAGAAAGACATGTCCTCATGTCGAGATAAGTTGCTATTCAAATGTTCAAATATAAACATGAAATTGTCAGTTATCATAATATTAAAAAGCATAATTATTCCCAATGCGAAAGACCTGTTGCATTCTGACCTGCGGTGCCTGCATGTGGGCCATGTGGGCATCATACCCGGATTCTCCACCAGTTGTCAACGCGTATGTTGACGGGGAAAATAGCTCAGATTGAAGACGAAGAATACTTTGAGTCCAAACTTTTTTAGTCGGCAATAAAACAAACAAATACAATCAATAATGGAAATATGTCGAGCGGAGATTCCAACTCAACAACTACAAGTGAAGTCCAGCAAGCAGGCGTATCCTACTCGCATCTGTACATACAGGTGCCGTTGGAATACCAGACTAACTAACAGTAAAGATGTAATTAACATATATATACACTATTGGACAACAATAGACAGACAAAGAGACAATGGCGTTGCCCTGGACATGGGGCTTATGGATTTGATTACAGACATGGCCCAGGGGAAAATGGATTAAGGCTACAAATGTCATAATGTGAAATGATGTGCTAAGGCAATTGTACAACTGACCGCTGTTACGCATGGATTACATCAGATTTCCTGAACGATATGTTCTCAACACTGTACAAAAGGGATGTTGTTCAGAAGCTACAATTCTTTAACATTGCATTGTCCAGAGTGCTGTTAAGTCTGTGACACAAACATCGTTAAGAAAGAACCTAGGCTTCAAATACTGTCAAATACTTTTCCACAATAATGTAGCAATTACATAAAAACTTCGCACATATATAAATTATAGAAATGGATATGACCTGACAATGAACAAAACATCCCATCTCGTTGCATATAGATGACCATAGTTGCATGTGAAATGGACCATTTGATATACAGGGGATTTGGGGGCGAGGGCTCGGATGATTAAGAAAATAATAACTTGTTCCTGAAACAAGTAGAGATGCTGCTATATTTTGATGCAGTGGCCGAAATATAAATCAGATACCCCATGAATATCAAAAAGTAAGTCCCTTTTATCGTATAGCATTCGTTTGCAATAGGAGATCTTCAGTCACACAATTTACATAACAGTTTCAACAGAATCATGGTCAGCATGACATCTGGCGCTCATCGACACACTTTCATCATCTCACGGCGGAAATTCACACTACAAAAGCTGTATATAAAGGGGTTGCATGCACTCTGGATAAAGTAGGATCTTTCGAATATGATGACACTTGCACTTGAAATAACAGTCAGTCTTTCTGCAAAGCTCTTATTACTTGACACAGTCACCGTAATAATGAGGTAGGGCAGGAAGCTAACGAAAAACATGAGACTTATGAGGAATAACATTAGGGTCATCCTCCTTACTACATATTCCTGGTGAAGGGTTGTAGTAACTCCCTTGTCATGTATTGGTCCACTCCTTGAAGGGCTCGTGAATGCACACTGTTCATGTTCCGTCTTCAAGCTGCTGGAATCCTTTTGGGGGTCAAGGCTCTGATTGCCTTCTTGGGATATCATTGAAGTTTCATTTGGGCTAGAAGTAACCGTTTCACTAGTAGATTCTTGTGTACAATTACGGTTTGGACTCATCGTGTTAGAAGAGCCTGCTCTTGCCCTTTGACGAAAGGCTTTCTTCTGTTTGTACACCCTATGCCATATACATGTGTACATGACAATGAGAGCCCCTGCAGTCATTACAAATAACAGCATCTGAACACCAGAGTATATCACGTGGGGAAGAGTTCCTCTTTCTCCGTCAGAAAGGTAGCAAAATGTGGCGTTTGCGTGAGGCAGTGGATGAATGGTAGGGCCATGGATAATGGCAGGGGGTATGGTTAGAAGTAAAGCCACAGTACACGCCACCGCACATCCTACCTTTGCGTAGAAGATTGTCATCTGGCTGGCGAATGGTTTGCAGATTTTCAAATATCTGTCAACAGCGACTGGTAAAAGAACTGCTGCGGATGCCAACGAAAAGAATGTGAGACTAATCGTGGCAAACCTGCAGCCATACAACCCGGACGTGGCATGATGTCTCATGTGTACGATCTTCAAGGGCATGCTTAGAGAACAGTTCAGAATGTCCAGAAGTGCTAGTGTTACAATGAAACACCTTGTTGTGCTTGGTTTGAACTTGCACAGATACACGTAACAGACCAGTGAGTTGCCAACGACACCAACCAACATCAAAATAGCTACAAACACTATGGCTGGTAGGTATTTCAAAGCGTACATGTCGTCATATTGATGTAGGTATATGGTGTTGTTCTCGTCTTGTTCCATCGTGGAGTCGGTATTCTGAATATGAAAAGTGTCTATAGTAATGCAACAAAAGACGGAATAAATACCTACAACTATTTAACACAATATTTATGTGTCATACTTTACTTTGTGTCTACACGTAGAAAGCTAGCACATAGTTTAAGTGGGGGGGGTGGTTGCAAAGGCACAGCTATTCTCTGTACAGTATTGCTTACCTTAACTAAGGGGTGGTAATTAATTTATGATCGTGACTGTGTTTTATCCTCTAGATTCGCCATGACAGCTGGTGGGTAATGGTAATTAAAATGTCTAAATCCTACATCGCTTCCGCCTTTCCTCCCACTAAAGAGTTGGCTAAGATTATACGCCTTGATGTAACTAGAATGCGGTTGCACCACGCACTCAATATCAAAAGGAAGCGATATCAAAACAACTGCATACTGTACAAGCTTTTTAAATAATACTAATCATTAATAATAAATGTCACTTAATTTAGATAACATTATCAATCCATTTGCTGTCTTCATCTAAACTTTGAGGATTGGTAAGGAAACTGCTTGTTGTTTTTGATGTTTTATGTTAATCACTACATTCACTAGTCATGATTTGACAGTAGTCATGGTTGCCAAAACAGTATTACATGTTTTAACAGACATTTCATTTTATCCTTTCGAATTTTGTAATACAAGAAACTATTTATATGATTCGTCCAAATGTACTCAATCATGATTAGACAAATATTTATAACATTGTTTCGGGGGTACGGGTGGCCCAGTCGTCTAAGGCGCCGCAATTCGCTGACGCAGAGCTGCGTCCCTTGGGCACGCCAGAAACCTATGATTGTGGGTTCGAATACTGGTTCGCCCCGATTATGTTTCTAGGTTTGTCAGCACCATACCCGTGCTCGTGGGTTTCACCGAAGTCGTCAACGTCTGAGACCTGCATCACTTCGGGCTTTCCTCCCACATTAAGCTGACACGCCGCGATATAACTGGAACACTGTTAAAAGCGGCTTTAAACCGAACTCACTCACTACAATATTGTTTCAGATGCAATGGACGCAAGATGTCGTTTTCTAGAACCGTACTTACCTCTACGTCGTGACACTCCTTCTCCTTGCAGTTGTATGCCCAGCTTAAATGCTCCCTGTGTTATGTTGATATTTTCCAGTGTAAACTGAAAAGAACGCATTTCTATCAACCAGGAAGTGTTCCCTGTATTTGACATGTCATAAAAAGATGCGTCATCATATTGGAATAGAATAAGATTTGTGTATTTAACCCCAATATCTGTATTTAACGTGGTTCAGCTGGGTTTCAAGCATGCTGAGTCGTACATATAGCTAGAGTTTGTATTGCTGATGAAGAATAACGAGTGTTATTAACGGCTAAATCACATGCATGAATCTTTACATCCGTCAACTTGGAGTCAGTATACTGTGTTTAACTGTGGCATGTTATCTCCGTGGGCTAGCAGTATTAATTGTCATCAGTCCGTGACTGCACGACACTTTTTAAGTGTAATAATCTTGGACGCGACGTTAAACCCCATTTCACCTCTCCTCACCTCACCTCACCTCACCTCGCCTAGCCTCGCCTCGCCTCGCCTAGCCCCGCTTCGCATCACACATCACATCACATCACATCACATCACATCACATCACATCACATCACATCACATCACATCACATCACATCACATCCACAATCACATCACATCACATCACATCCATGCTTCTGGTCAAATCGATCGCATGTAGGGAGTGAAATCTAATTTGCTATCAGTGTTGGTATATTTAAGTAGCCTAACATCCAATGTTTCTGTGAGGAGGGGGAGGGGATGCAAAGATCTCCAAAACGTTTCTAGTAGACACAGTCACGATAACAGTCCGATATTAGAGCCTAGGGAAAACCATGTACATACATGTACATCGATGAAATTAGACATGATATATTGTATCTAGAGTTTAATCTTGTAATAATAAAATGGTCACTCTACGTCGACCACACGATTTCATGTTATGAACCAGAACAAGTATTCGCATTATGCAAAGGTAGAAGAAGACCCATGCCTCACCTTTTCCAGATTGCATCCAAATTCATGACATAACAACATGTTTCATACACTTGGAGTCAGCATATCAGATGACAGCTTACCGCAATATGTAAAATAATATATTACATTTAGTTATATTTAAAGGATCACGCAAACTGTTAATATATCTGCATGTTCTAAACGTTTGTGATAGGTATAAACCTGCTGTCAATACCAACTATCTAGTTTAGAAATATAGTTTGCTCTTCCCCATGTGTGGTGTAATAAAGTATAGATTTGCCCTGAACTATATATATATATATATATATATATATATATATATATATATATATATATATATATATATATATATATATATATATATATATATATATATATATATATATATATAGTTAAAGTATATTATAGCGCCATCTTCCTTGACGGTTATGAAAGAACAATGTTACCAAGGATACGTTAGATCTTGGGGAGGTTGTTTGAACAGCGCCATAACGTCAGTCCATTATGTGGAACTCAAACTGTTACTTCATTGCAGGATAAAATACAGTCGACACCTTTTATCTTTTAGCCAAGCATCTTAGACTAATACATATATCATGAGTTTAAAAAAAATTGTTATCAGATTGGACGTTTAGTCCATACACTGCTTGTGGGTAAGAATATACATGTATAATCAACATTTTGTTTCTTGGCATGACGACCTTAATAGTGCTTAGTATGCTTTTGAATACACAGATATACGGAAGCGTAGTAGGGCCACGGTTTTGTCTAAGTATCTCCTACGTAGGACTTACTATGTCCTACGTAGGACGTAGTATCTCCTACGTATGACTAAGTATCTCCTACGTATGACTTACTATCTCCTACGTAGGACTTAGTATGGACTAGAATAACTCTCTCCTACGTGGGAGATAGTAAGACCTATGTAGGAGATAGTAAGTCCTAGTAAGGAGATACTAAGTCATACGTAGGAGATAGTTATTCTAGTCCATACTAAGTCCTACGTAGGAGATAGTAATTCTAGGCCATACTAAGTCCTACGTAGTAGATAGTTATTCTAGTCCATACTTAGTCCTACGTAGGAGATACTTTTACAAAAGAATTCACCGTGCCCTACTACGCTTCCGTACAGATATTATCTCACTAAGGTGGCTTTTGATATCAAATATAGAAACTAGAGTCGATGGAGGAGAAATGTTTAGAGTCTGTGTATTATTTTAATGGACAGATCTTGGTTTATACGTATGTGATAACAAGAGACAAGAGAGTGAGATTTTATTTATTTCCTGATATCATTGTGAAGCATAAGTATGTCTAACAATGTTGCAATTTGAAAATCACAAGAATTAGATCACCTTAACAGCAAAATACAGTAAAATATTGACATGCACGTATATAACTCGACTGAAACTTTTGCAACTTATCCATAACAACTTATCCGTGCATAAAATAGTCATCTCATCACTATCAATACGATCAATGCATTTACGAGGAGTCGTTACTGGAAAACATTAGGTCGAGCGACCAATGAGTGGGAGACTCGACCTTACGTTTACAAATTTACTTGTAGCTGTGCTACTCGTGATCCTGAAGATATCGATTTTGAATATTTATTGCGGTTTCTCGGTGTGATAAACATGTTATTTGAGATACTAAATATCAAAACATCCTTTTCTACGTGTATGTGTAAAGTGATGTTTGGAATACAGTGACATCTGTTGAGTTCTGACATGAGTTGAATCTGATATGTTGGCATGATAATGAATGACATTTATTAGAATCAGATTCGGGGTAAACTGGTGTTACGATGTTATAATGGTAAACTAGTGGTACAATTTTACAATCCGTGCTGTCTTCCACATACATACATCTAAACAGCCTATCCTTCCAGTCATCGTTTCGATCCCACTGCAACATGTGTTAATATCAGCATATGAAGAACAGTTGGTTACTAGTAGTCCATGTGTTTCAGCAATGCTTATTTTACATGTGATATATGTAACGAAGTGCACCAAGGGTAATATATATATATGTATGTATAATATAGAGATATATGTATAATATAGAGATACATGTAGCATCACTGCACATGTTGGTAGTCGAGATTACTGAAGATTATATCAGGCCGCTGCATGCCTTAAAAGTCATTAATATGTCAACTGCGGATGTAGCAGGTGATAACAGATAAATTAAATAGATAGCATAGGGCTTTATGGGCAAGGCATAGAAGTAACTGTCGTGGTCCCATCTAGTACAGACAATCTCTCAGTCTCAGGTGGTCCAGGGAAGACAACTTTGCAGGTTCTGAAGTCGTGTCCTTGTTCCTTCTTGACGGTGTTACATATATCATACATGTATAACGTCACAATTAGTCACGTCTCTCTTCATTGATCGTTGTATAGCGGCAGCCATCCGTCAAGTTGTGATTATCAACAAATTGTTACGATTTATTCATCCAAGTGTCATCGTTCCGTAACGCATGGAATGAACAGCAAAACATTTAACCGATGATTGAACATGTTTGTTGTGCGTCCATCACATGACAAAGTGTTCTATTTATGTTCCAAAGTTTCCTCTCGTGTCTTACATATCAGCTGCTTTCCCTCAACGATAACAAGAAACGAGTAGTTTCCTCCACTCACTTCTGAATCTTTCATTGCATAAACTGTACACAATGCAGTTAACTGCACTCTGTATGAAGAATGAGCGTAGGAATACATTATACAACATGAATCCTGCTCCTTGTAAAGAGTCCAGAAAGTCGGATTTGATAAATCGAGTTATCAACAGGATCAGATGAGGTAAGAAACTGATGATGAACACCGCTGTGATGATGAACAACATAAGCGTTGTTTTCAACGCTCTGGGCCTTGATTTCTCGTTTGGTTTTGCAGCATTATTTCTTATTGATCTCACACTATTCGAGGATTTATCTTCTTTACGCGTCTTTGGTTGTGCTGAGGTATCATTCAGACATGTACAACCTGTCTCAGACGAACCGTCAAGACCAAGCGTCCCATTGTCTGAATTGGAAACATTGCAAGGAGCTGTGGGTGACGATATGTTACTGAAGGCGATCACATTCTCAGTTCCATCTTTAAATGACGTCTCGGTTGTGTAATTCGAAGAGTGATGTTTCTTATCCTTTGCCGGGCGGAATTTAAATCTCCGGTGTTTAAACACAGTCCTGCCAATGAGGATGTACATAACCACCAGGACACTCAGAGAACCGACGAACATGAGAAATAGGACTCCTATATAGACCACGGGGAACAGAGTACCGCGCCACCCGTCGTCAAAGGAACACTCGAAGCCTGTTATTTCCTCTTTGTCTGTTTCAACCGTTTTCCTACCGTAGACTATAACTGTCGGGATGGTGAGGACTAGTGATACGGACACAGCGATCCCTACCATGATGCGCGCGACTCTGATGGTGATCTGTTTGTTCAAAGGCCGACAGATCTTCCTGTATCTGTCTATAGCAACAGCTATGAGCGTCAATCCTGAGGACACCACGGAGAATGTGCTGTTGAATCGTATCATTTTACACACGGTTGGGTAGTCGAACGTATGACTGTACCTCATGCTCAGGATCTCCCCTGGAATTGAAATGACGCATGTCATGAGGTCAAACACAGCCAGACACACAACAAACACACGGGTCGGGCTTGGTTTGAATTTCTTGATGTACACGATCAGCACAAGAATATTTCCGAAAATACCCAGAACCATTAGGATGGCCAGATATATCACGGCTGGTATCATCAAGGGAAACATCGAGTCGTCAAGGTGGGATAGATAACGGTTCTTCTCCTCATCGCTGATGTTTAATGATGACGTCACTTCCGCTGTCGTGTTGTCTACACCGAAATGTGTCGTATCCGAGAAGATGACCGGCGAACTTGAGGCCATATTGGATTTGGTGATCACCTGAAATGATACGCAAATATGATTGTTTGTAGTGACATATTTCGTTTTTCATATGCGTCAAATGTGATACTCTGAACCCGTAATATTGGTACTTGTAACGAGATCTGAAGTATGACTAACTGAGATCAGCATATACTAACGCATATGAGAACCCATGTGAAGATGACGGGTAGAATAGGTCTTCAGCAACATAAGATTGCCGTAAAAGGCGACTATGTTTGTCGTAAAAGGCGACTAACGGGTTCTGGTTGTCAGGCTCGCTGACATGGTTGATGCATGTCATCGTATCCCAACTGGGTAGATCGATGCTCATAATCTCAATTACTGGATTGTGTGGTCCAGCTTCGATTACTTACATACCGCCGTCATACAGCTGGATCCCGGTTCGCCACGATTATGTTTCTAGGTTTGTCAGCACCATACCCGTGCTTGTGGGTTTCACCGAAGTGGTAAATGTCTGAGACCTGCATCACTTCGGGCTTTCCTCCTACATTAAGCTGACACGCCGCGATATAACTGGAGAACTGTTAAAAGCGGCTTTAAACCGAACTCACTCACTATAATATTGTTTCAGATGCAATGGATGCAAGATGTCGTTTTCTAGAACCGTACTTACCTGTACGTCGTGACAATCCTTCTCGTTGCAGTTGTATGCCCAGCTTAAATGCTCCCTGTGTTATGTGTAAACTGAAAAGAACGAATTTCTATCAACCAGGAAGTGTTCCCTGTACTTGACATGTGTTAAAAAAAAGCGTCCTCATATTTGAATAGAGCATGATTTAGTCGTACATATAGCCAGGGTTTGTATTGCTGATGAAGAATACGAGTGTGTTGGCTTAATCACATGCATGAATCTTCACATCCATGGCGACCGCATCCGTGGTTTAGCGGTAGAGCGTCCGCCAGAAGAGCGGAAGGTTCGGAATTCGATCCCCGGCCGCGTCATACAAGAAGACGTTAAAATATGGTACTTGTTGTTACCCTGTCTGGCGCTGGGCATTAAGGGGCTAAAACAAGGACTTGTCAACTTGGAGTCAGTATACTGTGTCTGAGTGGGGTATTGGTGTTAAACTGCGGGATGTTATCTCCGTGGCTCACATCACATCACATCACATCACATTACATCACATCACATCCATGGCTTCTGGTCAAATCGAGGGAGGTGAATGTAGGGAGTGAAATCTAGTTTGCTGTCAGTGTTGGTATATTTAAGTAGCCTAACATCCAATGTTTCTGTGAGGAGGGGGAGGGGATGCAAAGATCTCCAAAACGTTTCTAGTAGACACAGTCCCAATAACGGTCCGATATTAGAGCCTAGGGAAAACCATGTACATACATTGTACATCGATGAAATTAGACATGATATATTGTATCTAGAGTTTAATCTTGTAATTATAAAATGGTCACTCTACATCGACCACACGATTTCATGTTATGAACCAGAACAAGTATTTACATTATGCAAAGGTAGAAGAGAAGACCCATGCCCCACCTTTTCCAGACTGCATCCAAATTCATGACATTACAATACGTTTCAACAGGAAACATCTCAAATATGAACATGTATATCATACACTTGGAGTCAGCAAATCAGATGACAGCTTACCGCAATATGTAAAATAATATATTACATTTAGTTATATTTTAAAGGATCACGCAAACTGTTAATATATCTGCATGCTCTAAACGTTGGTGTTATATATAAACCTACTGTCAATACCAACTATCTAGTTAAGAAATATAGTTTGCTCTTCCCCATGTGTGGTGTATAAAGTATAGATCTGCCCTCAACTATTATAGTTAAAGTATATTATAGCGCCATCTTCCTTGACGGTCATGAAAGAACGATGTTACCAAGGAAAAGTTAGATCATGGGGAGGTAATTTAAACAGCGCCATAACGTCATTTCATAATGTGGAACTCAAACTGTTACTTCATTGCAGGATAAAATACAGTCGACGACTTTTAATTTTTTTTAATTTATGATAGTGACTGTGCTTTTTCCTCTAGATTCGCCATGACAGCTGGTGGGTAATGGTAATTCCGCCTTTCCTCCCACTGAAGAGTTGGCTAAGATGATACGCCTTGATGTAACTAGAATGCGGTTACACCACGCACTCAATATCAAAAGGAAGCGATATCAAAACAACTGCATACTGTACAAGCTTTTTAAATATACTAATCATTAATTATATATGTCACTTAATTTAAATAACATAATCAATCCATTTGCTGTCTTCATCTACACTTTGAGGATTGGTAAGGAAAATGCTTGTTGTTTTTGATGTTTTAAGTTAATCACTACATTCACTAGTCATGATTTGACAGTAGTCATTGTTGCCAAAACAGTATTACATGTTTTAACAGACATTTCATTTTATCCTTTCGAATTTTGTAATACAAGAAACTATTTATATGATTCGTCCAAATCTATTCAATTATGATTAGACAAATATTTATAACATTGTTTCGGGGGTACGGTTGGCCCAGTCGTCTAAGGCGCCGCAATTCGCTGACGCAGAGCTGCGTCCCTTGGGCTCGCCAGAAACCTATGATTGTGGGTTCGAATACTGGTTCGCCACGATTATGTTTCTAGGTTTGTTAGCACCATACCCGTGCTCGTGAGTTTCACCGAAGTCGTCATCGTCTGAGACCTGCATCACTTCGGGCTTTCCTCCCACATTAAGCTGACACGCCGCGATATAACTTGAACGCTTTTAAAAGCGGCTTTAAACCGAACTCACTCACTACAATATTGTTTCAGATGCAATGGACGCAAGATGTCGTTTTCTAGAACCGTACTTACCTCTACGTCGTGACACTCCTTCTCCTTGCAGTTGTATGCCCAGCTTAAATGCTCCCTGTGTTATGTTGATATTTTCCAGTGTAAACTGAAAAGAACGCATTTCTATCAACCAGGAAGTGTTCCCTGTATTTGACATGTCATAAAAAGATGCGTCATCATATTGGAATAGAATAAGATTTGTGTATTTAACCCAAATATCTGTATTTAACGTGGTTCAGCTGGGTTTCAAGCATGCTGAGTCGTACATATAGCTAGAGTTTGTATTGCTGATGAAGAATAACGAGTGTTATTAACGGCTAAATCACATGCATGAATCTTCACATCCGTCAACTTGGAGTCAGTATACTGTGTTTAACTGCGGCATGTTATCTCCGTGGGCTAGCAGTATTAATCGTCATCAGTCCGTGACTGCACGACACTTTTTAAGTGTAATAATCTTGGACGCGACGTTAAACCCGATTTCACCCCTCCTCACCTCGCCTCGCCTAGCCCCGCTTCGCATCACATCACATCACATCACATCACATCACATCACATCACATCACATCACATCACATCACATCACATCACATCACATCACATCACATCACATCTCATCACATCACATCACATCACATCACATCACATCACATCACATCACATCTCATCACATCACATCACATCACATCACATCACATCACATCACATCACATCACATCACATCACATCACATCACATCACATCCACAATCACATCACATCACATCACATCCATGCTTCTGGTCAAATCGATCGCATGTAGGGAGTGAAATCTAGTTTGCTGTCAGTGTTGGTATATTTAAGTAGCCTAACATCCAATGTTTCTGTGAGGAGGGGTAGGGGATGCAAAGATCTCCAAAACGTTTCTAGTAGACACCGTCACAATAACGGTCCGATATTAGAGTCAGTGAGTGAGTTTGGTTTTACGCCACTTTTAGCAATATTCCAGCAAAACGGCGGGGGACACCAGAAATGGGCTTCACACATTGTACCCATGTCGGGAATCGAACCCGGGTCTTCGGCGTGACGAGCGAACGCTTTAACCACTAGGCTACCCGACCGCCCCTCCGATATTAGAGCTAGGGGGTACCATGTACATACATCGATGAAATTAGACATGGTACATTGTATCTAGAGTTTAATCTTGTAATAATAAAATGGCCACTCTACGCCCACCACACGATTTCATGTTATGAACCAGAACAAGTATTCGCATTATGCAAAGGTAGAAGAAGACCCATGCCCCATCTTTTTCCAGATTGCATCCAAATTCATGACATAACAACACGTTTCATACACTTGGAGTCATATCAGATGACAGCATACCGCAATATGTAAAATAATATATTACATTTAGTTATATTTAAAGGATCACGCAAACTGTTAATATATCTGCATGTTCTAAACGTTGGTGATAGGTATAAACCTACTGTCAATACCAACTAGTTTAGAAATATAGTTTGCTCTTCCCCATGTGTGGTGTAATAAAGTATAGATTTGCCCTGAACTATATATGTAGGTAAAGTATATTATAGCGCCATCTTCCTTGACGGTTATGAAAGAACAATGTTACCAAGGATACGTTAGATCATGGGGAGGTTGTTTGAACAGCGCCATAACGTCAGTCCATTATGTGGAACTCAAACTGTTACTTCATTGCAGGATAAAATACAGTCGACACCTTTTATCTTTTAGCAAAGCATCTTAGACTAATACATTTATTATGAGTTTTAAAAAATTGTTATAAGATTGGACGTTTAGTCCATACACTGCTTGTGGGTAAGAATATACATGTATAATCAACATTTTGTTTCTTGGCATGACGACCTTAATAGTACTAAGTATGCTTTTGAATACACAGATATACGAAAGCGTAGTCGGGCCACGGTGAAATTTATTTTGTCTAAGTATCTCCTACGTAGAACTTAGTATCTTCTACGTAGAACTTATTATCTCCTACGTATGACTTACTATCTCCTACGTAGAACTTACTTTCTCCCCCATACATGTAGGACTTAGTATGGCCTAGAATCACTATCTCCTACGTATGACTTAGTATCTCCTAACTAGGACTTACTATCTCCTACATAGGTCTTACTATCTCACACGTAGGAGAGAGTTATTCTAGTCCATACTAAGTTCTACGTAGGAGATAGTTAGTCTTACGTAGGAGATAGTAAGTCCTTCGTAGGAGATAATAAGTCCTACGTAGGAGATACTTTGACCAAAAAAAATCACCGTGCCCTAATACGCTTCAACGCAGATATAATCTCACAAAGGTGGCTTTTGATATCAAATATAGAAACTAGAGTCGATGAAAGGAGAAACGTTTCGAGTCTGTGTATTATTTTAATGGACAGATGTTGGTTTATACGTACATGTATGTGATAACAAGAGACAAGAGAGTGAGATTTTATTTATTTCCTGATATCATTGTGAAGCAGAAATATGTCTAACAATGTTTCAATTTGAAAATCACAAGATTTAGATCACCTTAACATCAATAGGCAGTAAAATATTGACATGCACGTATATAACTCGACTGAAACTTTTGCAACTTATCCATAACAAATTATCCGTGCATAAAATAGACATGACATCACTATCAATATGTTGCATTTACGAGAAGTCGTTACTGGAAAACATTAGGTCGAACGACAAATGAGTGGGAGACTCGACCTTACGTTTACAAATTTACTTGTAGCTGTGCTACTCGTGATCCTGAAGATATCGATTTTGAATATTTATTGCGGTTTCTCGGTGTGATAAACATGTTATATGAGATACTAAATAGCAAAACATCCTTTTCTACGTGTATGTGTAAAGTGATGCTTGGAATACAGTGACATCTGTTGAGTTCTGACATGAGTTGAATCTGATATGTTGGCATGATAATGAATGACATTTATTAGCATCAGATTCGTGGTAAACTGATGTTACGATGTTATAATGGTAAACTAGTGGTACAATTTTACAATCCGTGCTGTCTTCCACATACATACATCTAAACAACCTATCCTTCCAGTCATCGTTTCGATCCCACTGCAACTTGTGTTAATATCAGCATATGAAGAACAGTTGGTTACTAGTAGTCCATGTGTTTCAGCAATGCTTATTTTACATGTGATATATGTAACAAAGTGCACCAAGGGTCATATATATATATGTATAATATAGAGATAAATGTATAATATAGAGATATATGTATAATATAGAGATAGCATCACTGCACATGTTGGTAGTCGAGATTACTGAAGATTATATCATGCCGCTGTATGCCTTAAAAGTTATTAATATGTCAACTGCGGATGTAGCAGGTGATAACAGATAAATTAATTAGATAGCATAGGGCTTTATGGGGATGTGTCAATACAAGGCATAGCAGTTCCTGTCGTTGTCCCATCTAGTGCAGACAATTTCTCAGTCTCAGGTGGTCCAGAGAAGACAACGTTGCAGGTTCTGAAGTCGTCTCCTTGTTGCTTCTTGACGCTGTTGCATATATCATAAATGTATAACGTCACAATAAGTCACGTCTCTCTTCATTGATCGTTGTATGGCGGCATCCATCCGTCAAGTTGTGATTATCAACAAATTGTTACGATTTATTCATCCAAGTGTCATCGTTCCGTAACGCATGGAATGAACAGCAAAACATTAAACCGATGATTGAACATGTTTGTTGTGCGTCCATCACATGACAAAGTGTTCTATTTATGTTCCAAAGTTTCCTCTCGTGTCTTATATATCAGCTGCTTTCCCTCAACGATAACAAGAAACGAGTAGTTTCCTCCACTCACTTCTGAATCTTTCATTGCAGAAACTGTACACAATGCAGTTAACTGCACTCTGTATGAAGTATGATTGTAGGAATACATTATACAACATGAATCCTGCTCCTTGTAAAGAGTCCAGAAAGTCGGATTTGATAAATCGAGTTATCATCAGGATCAGATGAGGTAAGAAGCTGATGATGAACACCACTGTGATGATGAACAACATAAGCGTTGTCTTGAACGCTCTGGGCCTTGATTTTTCTTTTGGTTTTGCAGCATTATTTCTTATGGATCTCACACTATTCGAGGATTTGTCTTCTTTACGCGTCTTGGGTTGTGCTGAGGTGTCATTCAGACATGTACAATCAAGCGTCCCATTGTTTGAATTGGAAACATTGCAAGTAGCTGTGGGTGACGATATTTTACGTAATGCGATCCCATTCTCAGTTCCATCTTTAAATGACGTCTCGGTTGTGTAATTCGAAGAGTGATGTTTCTTATCCTTTGCCGGACGGAATTTAAATCTCCGGTGATTAAACACAGTCCTGCCAATGAGGATGTACATAACCACTAGGACACTCAGAGAACCGAAAAAGATGAGGAATAGGACTCCTATATAGACCACGGGGAACAGAGTACCGCGCCACCCGTCGTCAAAGGAACACTCGAAGCCTGTTATTTCCTCTTTGTCTGTTTTGACCGTTTTCCTACCGTAGACTATAACTGTCGGGATGGTGAGAACTAGTGATACGGACATAGCGATTCCTACCATGATGCGCGCGACTCTGATGGTGATCTGTTTGTTCAAAGGCCGACAGATCTTCCTGTATCTGTCTATAGCAACAGCTATGAGCGTCAATCCTGAGGACACCACGGAGAATGTGTTGTTGAATCGTATCATTTTACACACGGCTGGGTCGTCGAACGTGTGACTGTACCTCATGCCCAGGATTTCCCCTGGAATTGAAATGACGCATGTCATGAGGTCAAACACAGCCAGACACACCACAAACACACGTGTCGGGCTTGGTTTGAATTTCTTGATGTACACGATCAGCACAAGAATATTTCCGAAAAAACCCAGAACCATTAGGATGGCCAGATATACCACGGCTGGTATCATCAAGGGAAACGTCGTGTCGTCAAGGTGGGATAGATAACGGTTCTTCTCCTCATCGCTGATGTTTAATGATGACGTCATTTCCGCTGTCGTGTTGTCTACACCGAAATGTGTCGTATCCGAGAAGATGACCGGCGAACTTGAGGCCATATTGGATTTGGTGATCACCTG